TACATCAGAGAGTGTTATATTTGCAGATGAATTATCTGTAAGAGAAGATTTCAACACAAATACCAAAATTAATGTACAAAATGAAGCTCTTTCGAATGGATTTCTACCTCACTGTACCGGGGATGAACATACTGAAGAAAATATATTTGGTGACACATGGATTGAAGATGTCGCATGTATAGAAACGGTGTTTAGTGACGATATTGCAGAAGATGTACGTGATGCGCCATTATCTCCAAACAATAACAACTTACTTGAATGTGAAGATGTCAAAAATGAATCATTATTGTACAGTGACAATGACCATTTAGATAAAATTAAACATATTTATGGTAATGAAATGTGTAACGATGACGCTGAACTTGTAGAAACATTATACAGAACACCGCAAATGGACGTAAATAAAACCCTTGTTCGTAGAGAATCTCAATTTTTAGACGAGAGCAGCCGTTATTACGATAATGATTCTTTAGAGAAAATATTGTCCGAATCAAACGATAAAGATCAATTGATATCTGGTGCAGAATGTAGTAGACTTAAAACTGATAATTTATGTTCTGCTACAAATACGCAAGATGATAAAGAAAATTTAGAATTTGAATTACTTCCACGTACTACTGACAGTTATAAAAACACATTAATTGATACTGGCAATAATGACAAGGCGCTTAGGTCTCCAGATAATAATGATCACGAACCAACTCAATATGACTTAGTACATTCATGTGAGTCGAGTTGTGGCAATAAGGCGATATCATACCAACAAAAACCTGAAAGCCCCAGATATTCTAATTCTAGTTCGCCTGAAGTGTCTTCCACAACTTCTGAAGAAAAAAGTTGTGGCATTTTATTAAAAATAACAAACTGTAATGGATCCATATCATCGCAAATAAATGAGTTTGATATAAATAACAAGAGGAAATTGAATTGTAAATTAACGGAAAATAAGGATTTGGAAAATTACACTAGCAACATATCTAGAAAACGACCACTCATTACAAAAGCTGCGCAAAAATACATTCCACCTATAAAAGAAACTATACGTGACCTCAAAGTAAAGTTGCCTTTACCACAGCATAGTTTAAATAAACTAAAAATACTAAAAATAACCAAAGACAAACCAAAGCTTGATAAATGTCATAACAACAATCATAATTTGTTTAAACCGCACTTTCCAAAGAAGAATAAACCAAAATTTGAGGATGTTCTTAAAAGCATAGATGAAATCCAAATTAAAATGCATAGGGAAAAAAATAAAAAACAAAAGCATTCTATTCCAAAAGTAGTTATTAAAAAAAATGAAAATGGCGCTCACTACGCGAGCACGTCGAGTGATGACACATTCAATCCTGACTTAACGGGTAGAAAATGGCAACCGTGGGTATTTATAGAAAAAAACTACTTCATTGACAAAATGGCTTTAAATAAAAAAGTAAAGGCTGTGTTCAGCCATAGGAAGAAAACATTTGTTTTAGCAGAAAAATTTCGAAAATATAAATCAATTAGTGATGCAAAATTTGTTATATCTCAACCAAAGACAGAAGATATATCGTCAGGGAAACTAAAATACACAATACGATTAAAACAAAATTACTAAGGTAATTTGTTAAGACAGTCTGTTCCTGGGAACTGATAAATAATCCTTTAGCCACATTGGCTTATTCAATGTCCCACCATTTGAAATGATTACATGTCAAAACATTCCTTCTATTCCATAGTTACCCATTTTAAATATTACCTGAATAATTAATAAGTATGTATAGTATTAAAGCCAAAATTGTATTGTGATTTTCAAAAGAAAAAAAAACAGATATTTACGTACTGTATATTTTATTTATAGTGCAATCTGAAAAGATCTGTATTTTGTTATTTTATTTCAAAGTTTATCTATAGTTTTTTCTTCTAAGATCATTCCGATCATAAAATATTGCTTATAATTGATTCCTTACTACTTGCCTTTGTTCATCATTCCGTTGCTCACTTTAAATAATAAAACAATCCAAACATTACTTGTATTTTGAGATAAATTAAATTTTAGAGTTCTTGTAAATCATGTGATTTAAAACCTTAGACGTAAAGATATTATATTTGATATTCATATTGAAGCACCGATTTTTCAGTGATAGGAAAAATGGCAATGTTTTTAGTTTTCTTTTTTAAGAATTTCACAAGAGGCACTCGAAAAGCTTTGTATATTTCATACAAGGTTTCCTTTACATATAGTTTTCTATCGTTTGTAATGTAACATAAATGTCTTTGTTACATAGAAATTTTTTAATTGTGACCATAAAAATGGTCAAATTTTGCTCACGTAATTTCTAAGCACACTATGGTTAAGTAATTGATGTACTATTAATTTAGTATAAAAGTACAAAGAGCACTATATTTATTGTAAGTTAATAAATGCCTGTTAAATATATATTTCTACAAGTTTTACCGATTCTTATGTGTAAATACTTTATAATCTTATAGCTATGTTCTTGAAAAGTAAAAGTAAGCGTAATACTCACAATTGTCTATTCTTTAAAAGAAGAAGGTAGCTATGTATCCTTTTTAAAAGTAGAAGGCTACTAAACTCCACCGTTTATTGTTGCTAGCTGCCATTTATTTAGATATAACATGCTTAAAGAAGAAAACAGTGTCTACTTTAAATTTTTTAATTAAGTGCCTCAGTTTCTTATTTATATTTCACACTACATGAGTTTATATAGTTAATAAGTGATTGTATCTATAACAAGTCCATTTTACTAAATACATGTGCAATATATGTACAGTGTAGTGCCTTTGAACGCAAGCGTTTATTATTTATATTACATGTGTTTATTACAAATTTAATGTAAAACCTAAGTGGTTTGAATAGAAATATTGTTAGCGTTCTATAAATTATGAAATAGGTGTTGAATTGTTCCTAAATGTTAAAAGTCCAATTATTCATCAGTATTCGCGATATTTGCACGGTTACAACTCTGTAACATTGTTTGATAATAACTAACCATTTTCTGCGCAAAGTATTAAGGTGATACTTTCCATTGCGTTTTGTGTTCCGTGCCTTTTATTTGTCCGTAAACGGCAATGTGTGGAGTAGCGATTCGTTTTTATAGTCTTTATTTTCACGATTAAGATATATTATACAAACAGTGGAATGCGTTAACTACCCCCATTGTCAGTTTTTGACACACCAAAGGATTTCTAACAAAGTATACTCGGTTTCGATTCTAAAGGTGTGTCTGAGTTTGTGATTTTTGCGAGTTGTTAGATCATATATATTTAGACAAATAGAGCGATACGAGAACACGAAACGCGTTGTGAAGTACCGTCACAAAGTAATGGGATGTACTATTTTTATAATATAATGTCGGCACTTTCTCCATAAATTGATAATTTATCTTCGCTATATTGCAACAATACAATTGAACTATGATATAGCGAGCGCCGTAATGCACCATTACAAAGAGTTCACACTATTTCGGTTTATTTGATTCGGTTTACTAATACAGTTATAAAATTATAGCGTTCTCATTTATACGTTTTGTGAGTCGGTTTTCAAATACAGATGAGCGCGGCGTTCATAAAACCGATCTGTGTGAATTTTTGATTTAGATACGATCACTGAAACCGTTGCGATTTTTTTACCGCATGGTAAGAAAATACCGTGTTTGCATATTATATATATATATATATATATATATATATATATATATATATATTATACGTTTTGTAACAGTTTCTATAAAAACCGTGTACCTTTATGTGAAAAGGCTCAGGTCGAATGAAGCCATTGATATCAGCATGAAATAAAATACAGTGTAGGTACGTTTTTAACGAGCACAGTTTGCGCACGTATTAAGCGCAAATATTTTTACAGTTTATGTATTTAGAAAAAAATAAATGACCTTCGCAGATATATTTTATCGGAAAGCATTAAATGATCTCACACAAAAAGCGATCCCGTTTTGAATTTGTGCATGTCGTGCCTAAATCATGTAATTATATAATATATACTATTTTTATACTGTATACAGGGTGTTAATAAATATACCAAATATGTGCTTTTATCTTTTAGCAAGTGTTGCCTTCGTAGATAATTGTAAAGGAATAGTAGCTAAGTAACATTTAATTACTTTAATCGTATGCTATGTATGTGTGAGTGGTTAATGAACTGTTTATTTATTATATGTAGATATATTTTTATTGTACATGTTAAGGGGGTTAAACTAAAGACAATTTTAATAGTTTTAAAGTGTAAAAAGGTATTACTTTACCTAAAATAAACAGTCTTTTGTAATAGTTATTTGTTTTGTTAAGTCTATGATAACGTTGGCATGTTTATAAATTCAAAAAAATCAACGAAGTAATGCTGAATGGATGCTTTGCATTTATTCTAGCATACCTCTTGTTAGGATTTTTACTATAAAAATTAAAAACAAAAATAAATATTTATTCAACATGCCATATTTTGGGGCTGATTGTTTTTAAACAGTTTTTTTCATAAAGTTGTCAAAGGTATTAAATTTTAATTTCACCTTTGAAGTTTTAAATTTCGTGTATGTTTGTTACGCACTGTTGACTGGTTTGTTAAGTTTAATTTTTCTGCACATCGTTGGCCATTTTTAAATATTAATATTAATATTTTAATGCGGTTAAAAGCACTATTTAGTTAAGGGTAACGGAGTAATTTTTATTTATAGTTTTAATAAGTAAATTGTTTTATCGTTTAACGCATATCTTTTATGCCAGTAACGCACGTGATAGTGTTTCGTGATAGACGTAATGTGTAAATTATTGTCAACCACACACTTGCCCTATATATTTGAATTCTATAACATAGTATATTATACATTCTATAACAGTGCAGTGTGTGCGTGAAACTAAATATATTTTAATGGGTATATTGTTTATGAGTGGTACCTAGTTTTGAGAATTGTTCTAAAATTGACCAAATAAATGTGTTCCAAATAAAAATGCCTTATTTTTTAAATTAACGTCTTTAATGATTTTCATTACACAGGTATGTTGACTTTAACCGCTTCTTGACGAATGGCACTTATGAGTTCTTGGTTGACGAGAAATACGAACCGGAGGCCAGCAATCTGTAAATAATAAACATTTAGTCAATAAACATACAAAAGTACATTATTAATACAACTATAACGAGCAAATACTACTTAATAAGTGCTTGTGCGCAAAATTATTGAATCCTAAAGATATAAGTTAACGCTAGCATTACATTCATTCATTTTTGAAGTGTCAGTAGCCTAAAGGCAGAGCGCGGAGCGCGAACTTGAAAGGGTTCGAATCCGCCATTCGACTACTGTCGTGAACCACTTCTAACACAAGCATTTTAAGCTTACAAGAAATGGTTAAAGGGAATATTAGTATTGTATAATATCAACTAGTATTTAAAAAAAAATTCAAACGTCTTAAATACTTTTTAACATGCTACGAACCTCAATGACGCTATTGTGATTGAGCTTGACCTTATTTCCTTGAAGCACGGGGCGGCCGTCGACAAATATGGGTCTTTTCCCCTCCGAAGACATAAAGAAATCTCCACTATTACGGAGACGTATTGTGGCCTGCTTACGGGACACCTTTGCCGCAGGACCTTCCAAACTTAAGTCCACATCAATGCTATGGTCCCTTGTACTGCGACCAACGGCGATCTGAATAAAAAAGACACGAGTTACACAAAATACTAAAACGTGCTGTACGTAATATTTATGTGCTAACGGCACAAGAATCCTATTTTGATACCTATATGAGGTGTAATCCGCCTTGCTGTGCCAATGCTAGTTGGCGAACTATAGGTTTCCTAAACAATAATAAAAATGTTTTTTTTTGCGTTTGTTTGCTATTAAATTAAATTTGTTTACTGTCAAAAAATTTCAACATACAGATATTGAAATGTACAAAATAAAAAGATATTTTATAGTTCGAAATTTAATGTAAGTAATTCGTATAAAAATATATAAGTATAGTAAGACAACATTTATTTAAATTATATTTTTCTTGTAAAATTACATTCAAAGTATGATTTTCTACTGTATCGTAGAGGCGTTTTCAATTCATAAATTGCACATGGACAGACATGCAGACCCGAAACAATTATTTGAAGATCAAACAAGCACTTGCTCCGTGCGGGATTTGAACCCCGCAGCCAAACGCACTGATTGTTTATAAAACACGTTATCTATATAATGCAAGTACATAATTTTTATCTTTATATCGTGTTTTCACAATTGGACACGGTAGGTGGCGCTGTTACAATACAATACTCTTTATTGTACACCAAGAAAAGATAAAAATATCAAAAATAAAAAAATAACTATTGAGGGAAATACAAAGGACGGTCTTATTGCTTCGTAGCAATCTCTTCCAGACTGTCTCTTCCTGTTGTATTAGAGATTCAGAAATCACCCATAAGAAGCCACGGCGGATCGTCATCATCATATAATAAATACTTAATGTGAATAAACAATGTTGCAGCAGAACAATGTTAATCATAATTAGTTTACCAAATAAACTCGCTACTATGTAATTTTTTTTAATAATAACATTCTTAAGTCTTAACATTATAATTTAATATTGACTTAGCCATAATAAAGAATAAGTGCGAGATGTGCACGGTTTTATCATCTATGAGTACGTAACCTTTTTAATGCTAACGAGGCATTCCATCTTAGTCCTCACGGGTGACAACGCATCTGCATTTTGATACGTAATCTAGGATAGATGCAGATATCTATGGGCCACAGCAACCACTTACCATCAGATGGACTGTGTGCTCGTTTGTCATCCTTGTCCTATAAAATAATGTAACCAATGCATTTTAAAGCAATGACATTAACATACAGGCATTTCTAGAACATTACCACATAATAAGTAATTTACAAATTGAATTCCCTAATAAGTGTATTAAAACATATATCTTACGATCCTTCAGTTACATATCTGCACTTTCGATTTCGATCCTTAAACGAAACCAAATGTTATATTAAAAATATGCCGGTGGTTGTCACTTCATTCCGCGACTGTACCGATAAATACCTACGTCTGTTATTATTGTATTATTACAAATAAGATAAGTGTTGTTCGCTCGTTAATCCCGCCGATAAGGTTATCAGTGTGAAACTCGTTCCCGAACAGACACGGAATATCAGTCGACCGCCAATATTTTGGTGCAAACTGACAAAAACTTAGTTTGTAAATTGGTAAACACTCAAATGTATATTATGTGGCCTGGAAGGTCCCGAGGTCAGAAGACAATGAAGCAGTGTTATGTGCATTTCGTACGAACAGGTTGAAATCACCTTATTTAAAAATGTGTTATTACCTACTCCATTTTATGTTTATTTACAGTGATAAAAAGTTTAACGCTACATACTATATACATAGTATTTTTCTTATTTGTTTTAAAGCAGTGCAGTATAATAATATCAATAAATATTTGTTATTTATAAACCTAGTATCACTAAGTTCTGATACACATTAAATGCATATCTCAATGGCGGAGTAACGCTTTGAGCAGGTCATGTCCTCTAGTACCTACTGCCCACAATTTGTCCTCCAATGGGTTCACGAAGAGCAGTCTTCAGCTCATCTTCTGAAATTGTTTATCTTGGTAGGACTCTTCAAAAATCCATAAGTGATACTGGATGATGGACATTGAACTTTACCAACAAGTTATAAGACTTCGTATTCGGATGAATATGAACGCAAAGAAGACGAACAAACAAACAAATATATTCATTTCTACTTTCAGAATCCTTCGCGGGCGCGCACAGAACAACTCACCAAAAGGTTTATCGTAGTCGAATAAATAGTAAATGAACGCATAGAGATGAACAAAGAAATATTTTTTATTTAAATATTACATTAGTATTTTTCCTAGACAATTAAGTGTGTTATATTACCTCTACCTCTCGAATGAGTGATGATGTACAGTTGACGACAGAGTCGTTGGCAAAATTAGCAAAGGTAAAGCAGGAGACCCTTCTTCTAAAATTTTCTCCAGACCCTGCCTCAACACATTTCCACTTTTTTTCTACATAACTTTGCTCATAGGCATAAATTTCAATGCCGAAATCTTTAGAGTTTATTGATTCCCGCGCAGCAGACTTGTATAGATTAGACATGGAACGAGTAGTGATTCGCCGAGTACTCGGCCACCGGGTACTCGGCCTAGATTGGGGCGAGTACTCCGCCGAATACTAGGCTTAAAAAAAACACGGTGGCGGGCGGCGTGCGGTTATTTCCCTTACACAGAGTTAGGGATGAAAGGATACGAGTAAATACAAGTAGTTACTCGATACTTTAAAACTCAGTACCAAGTAGTATCGAAAGAAAAGTACTTGTATGTGTTCTCGATCAGTCACACACCCACGGCCACTGTTGATGAGTGTTACTTGTCAAATGAGACAACACGAGTTCATGTTCGAGAGATTGTTTTCGTTATCTGACGCGAAAATGACTGCTTATAGATCTATCTTTTTATGGGAAAACATCTAGAAAAATTATTGATCTTAGGAAACAAAACACATAAAAAAATGACCTTATTTCATAGTTTTTTTTTTTAATTTTATGTAATGAATACCTCATTAACTAACACTTCACGGTACGGATACGGTATAGTATAGAGTAAAAGCATCGATACCTTGATGGTATTGTTTCATCCCTACACAGAGTAACAGCGCGACAAATTTGTTTACGGGGAATCCCCTTTGCGCGGAAAAAACCCTAATTTCATAACTGTTTTCGCATCACAACCTTCCTGTCTTAAATTTTAAATATTAGTAATAATAATTTCTATTGTAGATTCTAGAAGTGGCAGTGGGCCGGCCATATAGCTTCGAAGAACCGACAACCGATGGGGAAGAAAGGTTTTCGAGCGGCAGCCTCGTACCGGTAGGCGAAGTGTAGGGCGACCCCCCACTAGAGTTGGAGTTGGAGTGACGTCCTGGTAAGACATACAGAAAGTGGATGGATACAGGTGGCTCAGGACCGTGCTTTGTGGCATTCCTTGGGGGAGGCCTATGTTCAGCAGTGGACTTATGAAAGGCTGTAATGATAATGATGATGATGATTATAGATTTTTATGTACGTTGTAAATTTTTCTGCTGCTTCTCGTGTTCCTGATGTTGTAATGTGTGTAATATAATAATAATGATAAAAACTGACTTTTTGTCTTTATTTTTCTTTGGAATATAATTAAGGCCGAGCACTCAGTAGTCGGTACTCGGCCGTTAATACTCGGTGCTCAGCCGAACCCTAAAAAAGGCCGAATCCGCCGAGTACCGAATCCTGAGTACTCGTCCCATGTCTAGTATAGATATGCCCATAAAATGACGAGTCTATTTTAATAACAGTGAAGGTAAATATAATGCCATCAAAAACATAACTTGTAAAAAAAAACCAAGTCTCGCAACTCAGTTCTTCTACCGTAAAAAGTTGTGAGATCCATGTAATACCAAGACGGTTAATTTCATAGAAATTCTATGGTTAATTTATTCAGTTCCTACTTAAGGGTCCTTCCATAGAATTATTACGCATAGAAACGCAGTCTAGTACAAAACACGAGCGTTAAAATGACGCAAGGTCATTATGTTAGTGGGCGCGAGTCGAATGTCACACGCACACATAGACGCCATTCAGTGATACCAGTTTCTGGCATTTGCAATCAAATTGTGCAAATCACTATTTTTTGGTTAATTTTAAAAAATCGATATAATAAAGACGAGGATGTATTTTATGAGAATATAAATTGAAATAAAATAAACACAATAATGATGGTACTAATATAACTTTATTATACCTATATTAATGGTACAAAAATGAAGACGTAATAAAATTTAAGAATATTATTAAACACAATTTTGCTCGAATACAATAAGCACATCGTGCAATGTTTAATTTTAACCGACTTCAAAAAGGAAGGAGGCTTCGGTGTATTTTTTAATATTTATTACCAAAGAATTCTACAATTGCTAAACCGATTTAGATTTTATTATTTGAAAAGATATACACACAGATTGATTCAGTATAAACGCTGAAATTTTAATGGTTGTTTTCCCGAAGTAAAATGATTTTGCCTTAGTAGTACAATAGATTTATTAAAATAAAAATTATTAGGTAAATATGGCAGATTTACAATCGAGAAAAATAAAACTCGAATGCGATCCCAAACCAATAGCAATATCTCGCAAGTAGGTCAGGCGTGCAGCCTAGCTTATACCGAATTACTACAATAAAGTCTAAAAAAAAAATTCCCTGGACGTAATGTAGTGTTACGTCTATCGCACGCGCTACCGCGCGCCTACCCTACACAGTGAAGGGCCACTAATAAGTGTTCATAACATGAACTCTCAAGCGTTGTGATACGACATAAACTAGTCTGGATGACCGACTAGCTTGTGAGGTATTACTATTATAAATCTGCCCTTTTTTAATTGTAATATTTTTTAATTTAATAAATTGATTCTACTATCGAGACAGTATAATTTGGGTGCGGTAAAATGACCTTTTCTCGTCAGACATACCTCAAAACCTTAAAACGAAATTGTACAACCAGTGCGTGTTGCCAGTGATGACTTACGGAACTGAGACGTGGTCTTTCACAGCTGGCCGTATGAGGAAGCTCAAGGTCGCTCAGCGAGCTATGGAGAGG